TATTCTCTGCTTTCAGCCAAGATCCATCTGACATCAGTAATGATATCCCTCATTTCATGTCCTCTTCTGAATCTGGTTTTAATCTCTGGCAGTTCCCTGTTGAAGTACTGCTGTAGCTGCTTTTGAATGATCTTCAGCAAAATTTTACTTGCATGTAATATTAATGATATCGCTGAATAATTTCCACATTCTTTTGGATCACTTTTCTTTAGAATGAATTAAAATATGTATGTCTTCCATTCGGTTGGCCAGGTAGCTATCTTCCAAATTTCTTGGCGTAGACAAGTGAGCACTTCCAGTGCTGCATCTGTTTGTTGTAACATCTCAATTTGTATTCCATCAGTTCCTGGAGCCTTGTTTTTCACCAACGCCTTCAGTGTAGTTTGGACTTCTTTCTTCAGTACCATTGGTTCTTGATCATATGCTACCTCCTGAAATGATTGAATGTTGATCAATTATTTTTGGTACAGTGACTGTGTGTATTCCTTCCATCTGCTTTTGACGTTTCCTGCGTCATTCTGTATTTTTCCCATAGAATCCTTCAAAATTTCCACTCGAGGCTTGAATTGTTTCTTCAGCTCTTTCAGCTTGAGAAATGCAGAGCATGTTCTTCCCTTTTGGTTTTCTAACTCCAGGTCTTTGCACATTTCATTGTAATATTTTACTTTGTCTTCTCGAGCTGCCCTTTGAAAAACTTCTGTTCAGTTCTTTTACTTCATCATTTCTTCCTTTTGCTTTAGCTACTCTTTGTTCAAGTGCAAGTTTCAGAGCCTCTTCTGAAACTTGGACTTTTCTTTCTCTCCTGTATTTTTAATGAGCTTTTGCTTTCTTCATGTATGATGTACTTGATGCCTTCCCATAACTTGTCTGGTCTTCAGGCGTTAGTGTTCAATGCATCAAATCTATTCTTGAGATGGTCTCCAAATTCATGTGGAATATACTTAAGTGGTTTTTTGGCTCTTGTGGACTTGTTTTAATTTTCTTCAGCTTGAACTTGAATTTGCCTATGAGCAACTGATGGTCTGTTCCACCGTTGGTCCCTGGCCTTGTTCTGGCTGATGATATTGAGCTTTTCCATCATCTCTTTCCACAGATGTAGTCAATTGATTTTTGTGTTTTTCATCCAGTGGGGTCTACCTATATAGTAGCCATTTATTGTTGAAAAAAGGTATTTGCAGAGAAGAAGTCGTTGATCTTGCAATTCTGTGCCATCTCCAGTGTGATTTCTATCACCAAGGCCATGTTTTCCAAATACCAATCCTTCTTTGTTTCCAACTTTTGCATTCCAATCACCAGTAATTATCAACACACCATGATTTCAGACTGTGGAAGTTGGTAAAAATCTTCAATTTCCCCATCTTTGGCATTAGCACCTGGTGCATAATTTTGAATAATAGTCATATTACCTGGTCTTCCTTGTAGGCACAAGGATATTATCCTATCACTGAAAGTGTTATACTTCAGGAGAGATCTTGAAATGTTCTTTTTGATGATGAATGCGAAGGTAGAAGCAACTAAGTGCTAAATATCACCACCCAACTGTCAGTTTGTGGTACTTCAGTGGCTTGCGTGTTGCTGTGATGCTGGAAGCTATGCTACTGGTATTTCAAATACCAGCAGGGTCACCCATGGTGAACAGGTTATAGCAGAGCTTCCAGACTAAGACAGACTAGGAAGAAAGGCCCGGCAATCTACTGCCAAATATTAGCCAATGACAACCTTGTGGATCACAACAGAACATTGTCCAACTTTTGATACGTCATCAGGAGGTATCACTGGAGGAGAATATCATGGTTGGTGAAGTAGAGGGCCAGCAAGGGCAAGGGAGACCCTCCATGAGATGAATTGGTGTAATAGCTGCAACAAGAGACCCTAACATGCTGGCAATTGTGAGGATGACACAGGATAGGCAATTGTTTTGTTGTACATAAGGTGGCTGTCTCAGTCATCTGGTGCTGCTCTAACAGGAATACCACAAGTGGATGGTTTTAACAAAGAGAAATTTATTTTCTCATAGTCCAGTAGGCTACAAGTCCAAATTCAGGGCATCAGCTCCAGGGGAACACTTTCTCCATCGGCTCTGGAGGAAGGTCCATGTCATCAATCTTCCTTTGGTTTGGAAGCTTCTCTGCGCAGGAACCTCAGGTCCAAAGGACGCGCTCTGCTCCTGGCACTGCTTTCTTGGTAGTATGAAGTTCCCAGGTATCTCTGCTCGCTTCTCTCTTTTATATCTCAAAAGAGATTGCATTAAGACACTAATCTTGTCAACCTCATCAGTATAAACTCATCACAGTGATAGAATTTACAACACATGAGACATATAATCTCATCATAGTGGTAGAGTTTACAACACATAAGGAAATCACATCGGATAATGCAATCATACAGTACTGGGAATCATGACTTAGCCAAGTTGCTACACACATTTTTTGGGGGGCACAATTCAATCCATGACAGTGGCCATGAGTTGGAGTTGACTTAATGGCATCTATCTATCTATATATCTATGTATCTATGTGGAAACCCTGGTGGCATAGTGGTTAAGAGCTATGGCTGCTAACCTAACCAAAAGATCGGCAGTTGGAATCCACCAAGCACTTCTTGGAAGCCCTATGGGGCAGTTCTACTCTGTCCTATAGGGTCACTATGAGTCAGAATCGACTCAAGGGCAATAAGTTTGTTTTTTTTGATTTATGTGTCTATCTAAATGATGGATAACAGTGGAGTTCTTAAGTAAGCTTGATGATTTTAACTACACAGCATATTATGCCTTGTTAAAATAATATGTAGGAATCATTTTAAACATACAGAACACATATAACAATCTCAAGTGAAAAAAAATATAAAATTAAATGTATAGTATAAAACCAGCTCCTCATTCAACCACTTTAACATATACATACTAAATGCTTTCCTTGGGCAAGATGTCAGGCCTGGAGGCAAAGATGCCAGGCAAGTTGAACCTCCAGTTATAAAAAAGGAACTAACAATGTATAATTTTAACCACAAAATAAATACACCGAAGGCCAAAATGTTAACTCTGCTTATGTTAGTGTCTTGGAAACATGATTAATTTTATTTGTCTCTATTTTCAATTGTTAAAACGGGCATATTTGACATTAATTTAAAAAAATTGCTTTTTGCCAAGGTTCTACCAATTATTTTGAATGTACTATGTATAGAGAAACCTGCTAAGTTAAATTCAGATTCTACTGACCTTGGAAATGATTTCCAGGTGTGCACATCCAGATACAATATAGCAGGAACCAAAATTCAGGGGTTCGACTGGGGGTGACATCTGCAGACGCACACCGTGGAACCTGTCTTCCTCTTCATCTATTGCCTAAGACAGAAAGAAATTAGAAAGGGAAAAAAAAAGTAAACAAGCTAAGGTGGTAAAAAAAATTACGATTTTTTAAAGTAGAATGTACGATATGATTCAAGTGTGTGTGTGTGTGTTTAATTCAGCTATGATCAATTTTAAACATGATAATGAAATCTCTAGATCTTACTCCTTCTGAAAACCCTCCAAAGTATCCTCTCCTTTTCTCCTTTCTTTGAAAGTAAGAAAAAGGAAGTTCAGTTTTCAGTAGAACTGAATTTCTATCACAGATTGTTACCTATGATGTAATGAGAAGCACACATTAAATGACATCATGGTGGGTGATTCATGCATCTCTCAAAATTATTCATGTCCTTTCTGTTTGACAAGGGACTAGAAAGACCAAGGTGATCACCTGGAAATATAAATCTCATATTCTTACAACAAAAAAATCAGTTAGTCTTACCTTTGTTAGTGTGCAATCACTGGGGATAAGGTACACGTGGAATTTAATATCTTCAGGATGAGGGTGATAATAGATGAGTGTGGTAGAAGTGATGGGAACAGAGAGACCAGCATAACTGGCAATCCGTAGCAGGACTCCCATCAGAGAGAAACTGGGGTTTTCTAGAACAGCGTAGAAAGGCTCTACCCTGGTTGGCTGCTCCAGGACCATCCCTTCATCCTTAAAATGGACAACTCGGAACCAGGAGATATCGACCTCACCTTCTGTAGGAGAACCACAATGACAATTGAACAAAATGTTGTGCAGTAATTCCCACTGCCTCCTTTCTCCCCACGTTACCTTTGAGGGAGATGAAGTGGGGGAGGTGGATTTTGGCTATGGCCCCTTCAGGCTCTGCTGTGATGTCAAACAAGGGACCTGCCACCATCCAGCACTTGTCCTGCTGCAGGGCCAGGTCCAGGTGCTGACCCCAAGACTCAAATGCAATTGTCACAGTCACTGCCTCCCTGACACCAAAGCCCAGGCCTGTGGCTGGCCACAGATACCAGCCAGCTGTGGGGAAATGGACACTGAAAGAACCAGAAGAGATCATCATGATGGGAGAGCCACCAAGACTCTAAATCAAATCACACTGTGTAGAGTGATATAGTATTTGGTGTTAGGAAAGGGTTCATGATCCACCTCTAACTTTACTAAAGTAGAAAAATCTGAGAATTTAATTAAGCTCTCTGAGTTCCAATTTCTTTGTAGTCTATTGTGGGACAAAGAACTTTGTTTGGCCCTTAGACTCTGGTTTCTGAAAATAACCCGAGTAATCAAGATGCTTTTATTTTACAAAATAGTCAGGCAAGGAGGGGCTGCACGGGCCCCACACTGGGCAAATTAACATCAGGAAGGGAGGAGGGCCTAATGCATTTATGCATATTCATTGACTAGATCTATCGTAACTGTGCACTAAGGCCAAGTCATGCATAGTTGTTGAGGTTTCAATGACTCAGGGACCCAGGACCTTGGAGTGCTCTTTTTGAGGCCTCCTGGACTGGTGAGACCATCCATGCACAGAGGAGAGAGTGACACATGCCTGGGGACATGGAGGTCCCATCCAGGAACTCCCCGAGACCTTTCCTGACATGTGTCTTCCTTTGCATCCTTTCTGGTTATAATGAACAGGTAACTGTAAGTAGAGATAACAGTGGCCGTGAATTTGTGAGCTGTTCTAGAGAATTAAGGTGTCCTGGTGGTGCAGTTGCTAAGCACTCAACTACTAACCAAAAGGTCAGCAGTTTGAACCCACTAGACACTCTGCAGGAGAAAGATGTGGCAGTCGACTTTCATCAAGATTACATAAAGAAACCCTATGAGGCAGTTCTACTCAATCCTATAGAGTTACTATGAGTCAGATTCGACTTGAAGGCAACGGGGTTTTGTTCTAGAGAATTAATAAACCCACAGAGACAATGAGCTCGCAGGGGTTGCCAGTACAGAGTTAGCTGGTTTGTATAGACCCAGCTCTGGGTGGCTGGGTGATAGAGAAAGGCTGAATGGGTGGTCGATGAAGAAAGACAGAGTTCTTCTAGCTTGTGACCTAGTCCTAGAGGGTGAGAGAGAGAGACCGGCTGGTCTGAAGTGCAGGGAGTTGTGCAGTCTCCTGACCCTACGGCTGCTCCCTGATGACCTGGCCTCAGATGGCCAGGGATGTTTTGCCCCAGCTCAGGGTAGCTGGGGATGAAGCCTGATTAACACTGTGTGATTAGGGTCAGAGAGAGGAATTGACATGGAAGTGGCTGGAAACAAGATGTGGAAATGTGGGAAGGTGACTCCTGGATTCACTTTTAGCTGGGAATTAGATTCATGCTGATCCTTGAAAAGCAGTTAGTGATAAAGGTGGGTGTTTTACTTATCTAGTGCTGCTGTAACAGAAACACCACAAGTAGGTGGCTTTAACAAACAGAAATTTATTTTCTCACAGTTAGGAGGTCAGAAGTCTGAATTCAGTGTACTGGTTCTTGGGGAAGTCTTTCTCTCTCTGTCCTCTGAAAGAAGGTCCTTGTCTCTTGTCAGCTACTGTTCTTCATTGACCTTCATGTGGCTTGACATCTATCCTCCCCTATCTCTGCTTGCTAGCTTTGTTGCTTAATCTCTTTTTATATCTCAAAAGAGATTGATTTAAGACACACCCTACACTAATACTGCCTCATTAACATAACAAAGAAAACCCTTTTCCAAATGGGATTATAACCACAGGTACAGGGGTTAGTATTCACAACACTTATTTTTTTGGGAGGACACAATTCAATCCTTAACAGTAGGGTTTGCCCACCTCATCCCTTTTATACTGCAGATAGTAGTGACAGCCTTGCCATCCTCACATCTATGTATGTTGAAATTAAAATATGATCTCCATAGTACAGGAAATAAACAGATTATCGATAAAATGTCATATGTCTTACATGATGAATCATGTACATTTCCTTTATATTAGAGTTGTATTTGTATAATCGCCATACTCTATACTTACCTGTATCTGTTTGGGCTTTTATCAATCAACTGAACATCCACATTTCCTCTAGGTCCCTGAAACTGATTATTTTTGCAGTCTGTTTCAATAGCAAAAGAGAGATTAGAAAAATATTAGTTGCTTCTCTGCTGAAGAAATATTTCCTGAAAACAGAACAAAACATGCTGTGCATATAAGAAGTTGGCTGATGGGTAGGGCATGTTCTGAAGGAGTCTGGATGGTGAATTTTATGCATGTGGCTGGGAGTATAGATATTGGATAGAACAATATGTGGTTAGAATATAGGGCTGTGGTGTTTGAATCTGGACAAAGAAAGGCACAAGATTGTACCCCTAAATTTCCAAATGTTTTCTTGGAAGCCAGGTTTGACTGCTTTGGTGCTAGGAACCATCTCCCTTGGGCTGGGACCAATGCAGCTAAATTTCTACATTGTCCCAAATAGTCGATCTTATCTTCTGTTGGTGAAGAAAGTTGGGCCAAAAATGGAACAAGTGCAAAAGCTGAACAGGCAGAAGAACATACGTGCTTCCTAAGTGCTCTGCCACCCTCCCAAATGACCCCAGACTGTGCCTGGTTCCCCTCAGCATTTCCATAATCCAGCAGGAAGCAGATTATCAGCAACTGTTGGGACCCTCCACACTTGCTCTGCTGGATTCTATCTCCACTGCTTATGCTCTGGGACAATGACTGTTTACACCCAGCAAATATTTGTACACTGTATGATAAAAGTCTCCAATATACTGTCCTTAGATGAAATTAGTTTACAAAGAATTACAATCGAAGGGATCTCATTGTGGTGTGTTTATGGAGAGCAAGGATTATTTATAGGCATAACGAAAAGTCTCAGTTCTGTAAAAAGTACCCAACCTCCGCAAGTCTGTTTCATCCTGTAAAAATGGTGAACAATACTCTCTGAACCTTACAGAGTTGATGCGAACCCAGTACCTATAGCCCGGTATCTAGAGAACTATGTGAACTCAATGTTAATGTTATTAATGTTAATACAAATGAACCTGCCCCATGACATTATGGCTGGTAAACAGAGGAGCTAAGCTTGGTGTCAGGGTACTTCTAACACCATGTCCGCGATTTTGAATCTCTCATGGCTTTCAAACTACTCCACACCATGTGCGACAGTATTCAAACCACAGCACTTAGAGGCGGGACATGCAGTTAAAGGACCTAGAATTGCTAAGCTTTGGTTAATGTTTTAAAAAAAATTTTGTACCATAAGGCTAGGAAAGTCTCTTAGCACATGTCTGCCACAGTACAAATGTCTCAAAAGATCAAGGTCCTTAATAACTCATTGCCTATTTTTTTTGAAGACTGGGATATATTAGGATAAAACAAACAGAAAAACAAGGCTCCTTTTGATTAAGCCAAATATAGTCAAATGCCAATTCACACCTCCTACTAGCGGAATGAAGTCAAGTGACTTCTCACCTCCGAGTTTACTTTACTCATCTCTAAAATAAAATCTATAGGATCCATTTATAGAGTTTCCACGGATAATAAAACGAGAATGTGTATAATGTACCTAACAGTGTTGGGATTATAAAACTCATTTGAGAAATAATAACGAAGAATACAAGTATTATCCCCATTTAGGCTGCATAGTGCACTGTGGTAAAACAAACTGCCGTCAACTCTGACTCATGGCGACTTATGTGTGTCAGAGTAGAACTGTGCTCCGTAGGGTTTTCAATAGCTGACTTTTTGGAAGTAGATTTGTAGGCTTCTCTTCCAAGGTGCTTCCGGGTGGAAACTCCAAATTTTTGATTAGCAGCTGAGCACGTTAACAGTTTGCACCACCCTGGTACTCCCTCTAAATCTTCCCAAAATCCATTTTGAATCCATTAAAGCCCTCAAAGTTGTCTTCTCCCAGGAAAAAAAAAAGAAAAAACAACAGAACAGAACATTTCAGTGAACTGGTTGAGACATCCCTGGCTCCTTCTTTATATTAGTGAATTACCTGTTGCATGTCTCTGGTGCTTCTGTTGAGATTGCTGGTCATCTGGCTCGTTGATGGCTTTGAGCCTTGTGTTTCAAAAACACAAAAAATGCTAAGAATCAGTTCATGAATATGAAGAGGAGGCAATTAAAACTAAGCCTGCACTGTTCAAAACAGTAGCCACTAGCCACATGTGGCTATTTAAATTAACAATTCAGTTCGTCAGTTGTACTACGCACATTTCAAGTGCTTAATAACCACATGTGGCTAATGGCTACCATACTGAAAAATACAGAATGTAATATTTCCATCATCAAGGAAAGTTTTATTGGACAGAGCTGATCTAGACAATCAGAAAAGACATGGCTTGGATAATGAGAGATTTGTTAACAAAATATGTGGGTAGTAGAAATTAAGGGACTCTCCAGATCCAAATGTGTCTTGCTTATTCTCTTTCTATTATACCAATGTCCAAAGTGGCTGTAGCCAGTGTCATAGCTATCTAGCGCTGCTATAAGAGAAAAATTGCAAGTAGCTGGCTTTAACAAATAGAAGTTTATTCTCTCACAGTCTAGGAGGCAAGAAGTTTGAACTCAGAGTGCCAGCTCCAGGGGAAGGCTTTCTCTCTCTGTTGGCTCTGGGGGAGGTCATTGTCATCAATCTTCCCCTGGTCTGGGGACCATGGTTTCAGGGGATATCTAGGTCAAGTGGCATAATAAAGTTTATTAAGAAAATGTTCTGCATCCCACTTTGATGAGTGGCATCTGGGGTCTTAAAAGCTATCAAGCAGCCATCTAAGATGCATCAATTGGTCCCATCCCACCTGGAGCAAAGGAGAATGAAGAACACCAAAGACACAAGGAAAGTATTAGCCCAAGAGACAGAAAGGGCCACATAAACCAGAGACTTCATCAGCCTGAGACCAGAAGAACTAGATGGTGCCCAGCTACCACCCATGACAGGGAACACAACAGAGAGTCCCTGACAGAGCAAAAGAAAAGTGGGGTGCAGAACTCAAATTCTAGTAAAAAGACCAGACTTAATGGTTTCACTCACTGGAGGGACCCCAGAAGACATGGCCTCTGGACTCTCTGTTAGCTCCAAACTAAAACCATTCCCCAGGCCAACTCTTCAGACAAAGATTAGACAGGACTATGGGACATAAAATGATACTCGTGAAGAATGTGTTTCTTAACTCAAGTAGATACATGAGACTAAATGGGCAGTTCCTGTCCAGAGGTGAGATGAGAAGGCAGAGAGGGACAGGAGCTGGTTGAATGGGCATGGGAAATCCAGGGTGGAAAGGAGGAGTAAGCTGTCACAGTATAGGGAGAGCAACTAGGGTCACGTAACAATATATGTAGAAATTTTTGTATGAGAGACTAACTTAAATTGTAAACTTTCACATAAAGCACAATAAAAATAATTCTAAAAAAAAAATTCTTCCCCTGGGTCTAGGAGTTTCTCAGTGGCCCAGGCAGCCCTCATTCTTCTGCACCTAGGGCATGGAAGATCCATCCCCTCAGCTTCGGGCAGCAGATCTGGCCCCATTCCACTGGCACTCGTGAAAAGCAGCCCTACACTCTGGAAGCGAGCTAGTGAAGATCTGACTCTATGAAACCTAGAAGGCCCCACTCTTTGAGATCCAGCATGCTGTCGTTCCACCATTTGAGACCCCAAAGGCCCTACCCTTTGAAACTGAGGTATCTCTGCTTCCTGTGCTCATTCTGTCTTTAGCTTCTGCTTCCTAGTTTCTTGGACTCTGGGCCGCTCAGGCCCCTCGGGCCTCTTGGGCCTTCCACCCTGCTCGGGCAAGTGTTCCAAAGCTATTTAGCTCTACAGATAAATGCCTATAGGCATACCAATCTGTGAGTAAACCTTGGTCAGAAAGCATTCAATTCTCTTACTCCATGGGTCACCTCCTGCACTGTCTGGTGCTAGTCTCCTGGTTTTGTTGCTGCTGTTTCTCTGCTACTGCTTCCTGCCATCTACGCCACCTCAGTGTTACATCTCTTCTCACTTCCTTCTGATTTCTCACCAGAATTGTCTTTGACGTCCATAACTCCACCAACAGTCTCTTCAAGGAAACCTAGGCTTTTACTATTAGGCACCTTAAAACTCTTCCAGCCTCTACCCATTCACAGTTTCAAATACACCTGCATATTTTAGGTATCTATTAGAGCAACACCCCACTCTCCTGGTACCAATTTCTGTCTTAGCTATCTGCTTTTGTTGTCAGGTGCCATCTAGTCGATTTCAACTCATAGTTACCCTATGTACAACAGAAGGAAACATTGCCCAGTCCTGCGCCATCCTGACAATGATTGTTATTCTTAAGCCTATTGTTGCAGCCACTGTGTCAATCCATCTTGTTGAGGGTCTTCCTCTTTTTTTGTTGGCCTTGTACTTCACCAATCATGAGGTCCTTCTCCAGGGACTCATCCTTCCTGATAACATCCTTGCTTCCAATGAGCATTCTGGCTGTTCCTCTTCTAAGACAGATTTGTTCATTCTTCTGGTAGTTCATGGTATATTCAATATTCTCCATCAGTAACATAATTCAAAGGCATCAATTCTTTTTCCATCTTCCTTATTTATTGGCTGCTATTTATAAAGTTTTCACTGGCCAATTTTTTTTAGAAGTAAACTTCCTGGTCCTTTTTCCTAGTCTGTCTTAGTCTGAAAACTCCACTGAAACCTGTGAAGCAAGGTTTTTGACATTGGTATTTGAGATACCGGTGGCAAAGCTTCCAGTATCACAGCAACACTCAAGCCACAACAGTATGACAAACTGACAGATGTAGCAGCTTAGCCATCTAGTGCTGCTATAAAAGAAATACCACAGATGGATGGCTTAACAAACAGAAGTTTATTCTCTCACAATTTAGGAGGCAAGAAGTCTGAATTCAGGGCATCAACTCCAGGGGAAGGCTTTCATTCTTTGAGCCTCTTGGGGAAGGTCTTTGTCATCAATCATCCCCTGGGTATAGGAGTTCCTCATCACAGGGACGCCAAGTCCAAAGGATAAGCTCCACCCCTGGTGCTGCTTTCTTGTTGGTATGAGGTCCCTTTCCTCTCTGCTTGCTTCTCTCTTTTATATCCCAAAATAGATTGATTAAGTTACAACCTAATCCTGTAGATTGAGTCCTGCCTAATTAATATAACTGCCTCTAAACTTGTCTCATTAACATCATAAAAACCAAACCAAACCTATTGCCATCCAGACAATTCTGACTCATAGCAAGCCTACAGGACAGAGTAGAAGTGCCCCATAGGGTATCCAAGAAGCAGCTGGTAGATTTGAACTGCCTACCTTTTGGTTAGCAGCCATAGGTCTTACGCACTGTGTCACCAGGGATCCCATTAACATCATAGAGGTTAGGATTTGCAACACATAGGATAATCACATCAGATCATAAAATGGTAGATAGCTACACAATACTGGGAATCATGGCCTAGCCAAGTTGACACACATTTTGGGGGGGACACATTTCAATCCATAATAGCCACTTTATTCTACTTAAATTTTTCTGATTGGTCTCATATGACAATTGTGACCAAAAGACTGAATCGGTAATTGACCCATGAGTGAAATGCATACATTAACACTGGTTCCCAACCTTGACCATACATAGGGAGTTGTAACCCATCACCCTGCCATACCAAAGTCACAGCCCAGATCAATTAAATCAAAATGTTGGAGGTGGGACCCAGATATAAGTACTTTTAAACCTTCTCTGGTAATTTCAATTTTGTGCCAAAGGAGAGCCAGTGGTTCATTAAGTGTCTGGTGTGAGAAATATGTCCTAACAAAGATGGTGCCTTCTGGATGAAGATGGCCAACTCAACCCAGTTCCCTACCTTGGGGAATTTGAACGTGGAACAAATCAAGACCTGGGGAATAAGAAGACATGAGTCCCCGTCACTAAGAGGGGATATGCTTAAACAGGAAATAAAAACATCTACTTCTAAAAAGAAGACAGTTATTCAATAATAGGTATTGGCGTGGCATCATGAAATATAGTCTAGTTTTATGCTGATATTTTCTTATGTTCCCTTGATTTCTTGATATATCCAAGGAATCATTGATATATTGGATATATGTATTCATCTCAACATGAAAGAGATTACAGAGAAACTGATACATAAATAAGATCAGTGGTGGAGGGAATTAAAAGAATGGGCCTATAGCTCTTCTCTCAGAAGTGTTCTGTGGGCAGGCCATAAGTTAGAGACCCTTGGGCTGCCTTCCTTAGACTTAGTAACCCTGATTATGCTAGCCCCATACAAAGCACTGAAGATGAATATGTCATTTTATAGTCTCTCTCATGGTGTATTGTGTAATCTGGATACCGGTGGCTGGCTCTTTGATAAGTTTGAATTTAGGAGTATGGCAGGAACCCAGTGACGAGCTGTAGCCAGCTCACACCAGATAGTGAGAACTGGTTGTTGGATTTTCAGGAATTGCAAGTAGGTTGTTGTTATGGATTGAATTGTGTTCCCCAAAGATATATATTGAAGTCCTGACCCTTGTAGTAATGAATGTGATCTTGTTTGGGAGCAGGGGTTTTCTTTCAGTATGTTAATGAGGCCATACCACAGTAGGATGGGCCCTAAGCCTAGTCACTTCTGAGTTATAAAAAGAGCAGAATAGACAGAGACACACATGCGGGTGGGGAAGGGAGGGCACAGATACCATGGAGGACCCATCTACAAGCCAAGGATTGTCTACAGACAGCAGGAACTATGAGAGAGGATCACTGAAGGAATCAACATGGACAAGACTCTGATTTGGACTTTTAGCTTCCAAAACTGTGAGAAAATAAATTTCTGTTCTTTAAACCCATCCACTTCTGATATTTCTGTTACAGAAACTCTAGTAAACTAAGGCAGATGTTCAACACAGCCATTATTAAAAGTTAAATTATTTAAATTTACATTTAAATAAATTATATTAAAATAAAGGTAATAAACACTCAAAACTTATCACTTTCTGATTATTTTTACTATAGTCTATGCTCTTGGGGTCGTTTGCTTTTATTGGATCAGTAGGGTGAAGAAACTCTATAATGGAGGGCAAGTGCGCACTTCTCAACTCTATGTTCAGAGACATCATTATGGTAGCTTAAAATCCCCCAAGGTGGGAGTATTTGCTGCATGAAAATTGGCAAACACTACACATCAAGGCTTTCCCCTCTCCCTTGGAAATCTGGTTGTTAAACACTTAGCAGCACATCACTGCTGGGACCCTACTCTAGCCTTCAACGTCATCACCAGAGTATTTCCTAGAGAATTGTGTTGTTTATTTGCTTGGTCAGCAGCTCAGCCAGTAATGCAGTCATCTTTGATTGTCATCAGTTACTGGCTTTTAGTGTGTAGCTTCCCTAGACACGTCCCCGGAAGAAAAGATGGTTAGCCTAGGGTAAGATGTAGATTCCTACTCAAGCCATGGTCTTTTCAATTGGCTTATATGCATGTGAACATTGAACAACGAAAAAGGAAGACAGTAGAATTGATGCATTTAAACTGTGGTGTTTGTGAAGAATACTGAATACACCATGGACTTCCAAAAGAAAAAATCAGTCCTAGAAGACATGTAAGCAGAGTATTCCTTAAAAGTGAGGATGGAGAAAGTTTGACTCACTTACTGTGGACACATCATCATGAAAGACAAAATGCTAGAGAAGGACATCAAGTTTGGTAAAGCAGAGGTCCAGCGAAAATGAGGGAAACCTTCAATCAGGTGGATTGACACAATAGCCAAAACAGTGGAATCAAACCTACTAAAGATCATGATGATGGCACAAGACCAAACAATGTTTTGTTCTGTTATATATAAGTCTGCTTGGTGGCAAGTAACAGCAAAAACAGCAACAAAATTCAGAAATTCCCAGGTTTACTGGTAATGTTGTATAAGCTGCTTCATTCTCCCTCTGATTCTTTTGTAAATTACCCACATTTCTCTGTTTCTCATCTTCCTCTGTGATATACAGAAATAGTATCCAGTAGCATCAACTTTCACCACAGAATACAGTTCTCCTCACCCATGAACTTCAGAGTGGTTGAGCATTCTGTAACTCCATTGCTCTAGCCACCTCTTCTCATCTTCACTTTGCAAGAGATCTCCACTCATAGCCAATTTCTGTACAATAACCCTTGGAAAATACAATAGATTGACAATGGGTTAAAAAATTTTGTTAACGGATAGTGGTGCTTGTACCACAGCATGGTGAATATACTTACTGTCACTGAATTGTACACATAAGAATAGTTGAAATGTTTTGTTACATATATTTCACCACAATAAAAATTAAAAAAAATTAAACACAATGGGAGTTGTACTATGCATATAGGGGAAGGGCCTGGTGGTAGGACAGTCTCTAAATAGCCATGAACCCTGTGTTTTGTCTTTTCTGAGGCTTTCCTTCAGGTCCATTCCCTCTCACTCCTCATTATATTGAATTTAACTATTTGTGTCTCTGTCTCCCACTAAATAGTGTTCTCTTTATCCCTGGAAGCAAACCTCAGTCAATTCTCAACACCTAATACTCAGCACAAGGTTTTCTTTTATAATAGGTCAATATCCTTCTTGACATAACTATCTTGCTGAAAATTTTAGGGAGGAAGAAGATGCCTAGTTTATATTCTAACT